GAGGTGCAGTCAAATGTAAGAAATGTGGCAAATCCCATTGGTTTTTGGACCCTGACCCCGCCGATTTGCATGAGGGGTGCCGCTGAATTTTAGAAATGTAGCAAATCCTATGTGTTTTTTGACCCTGACCCCGCCGATCTGCGTGAGGGGTGTCGATTTCGCCCCCCCCCCCCCCCCTCTCAGAAATTCTGTTAACCCTCCCAGGAGGTGCTAACCAGGGTGCTTTTCGGCTCCCCCCCCCCTCGCGCGGTCTACACCAAGGAACAGTAAGCAGCATAAATAAGCAGCATCAAGCTCTCGCTTTTCCTTTCTCTCTTTTATTTTTTTTTTTCTCTCTCTCTCTCTCTCTTTCTCTCTCTCTCTCTCTCTTTCTCTCTCTCTCTCATCTCTCTCTCTCTCTCTCTTTCTTGCTTCCCCCTCTCTATATCTCCTCTTTCGTTCTTTATTTCTTTACCATCTCTCTCTCTCTCTCTTTGTTGTTATGTCCCTTTCTCTCTCTCTCTCTATTTCTCTAGCTTTTGTTGTTGTAGTTTTTGCGTAATATATATATATATGTAGTTTTTTCTGTTTCATGTCTCGTTTTTTTGTTGTTGTTTTTTTCCCCCCCCCTCTCTCTCTGTCATCTCTGTCTCTCTCTCTCTCTCTTTCTCGCTTCCCCCCTCTCTCTCTATATATATATATATGTATCACTCTTCCACTCTCTGTCTCCGCGCGCGCGTCGCAGGGGGCGAGCCGCGGCGGGGGAGTGGGCCGCTATCCTGTGGGGGGTAGACGTGGCGGCAGCGATCTCGCACTCCCCCCCCCCCCCGCGGGCGCGCAACGCAGGGCGGGCAGCGGGGGGCGGGCAGCGGTTGCCCTCGGGCCCCCCGCGCGCGCGCGCGGGGGAGGAGCTGGACCGGAGGGTGGGCGCTCTCCTCCTCTCTGTCTCTCTTTCTCTCTTTCTCTTTGTTTTTTGATGTCGCTCTCGCTCTCTCTCTCTCTCTCTCTCTCCCTCCCTCCCTATCTGTATATGTATATATACATAGTTTTTTTTTTGTTTTCTCTCTCTCTCTCTCTCTTCTTTTCTCGCCCACTCTTTGTTTCTCTCGCTTTCTCTTTCCCCCCTTTTTCAATGTTCTCTCCCTCGCTCTATCTCTCTCTCTCTCTCTTTCTTTCTCCCGATCTCTCTGTCTCTCTTTCTCTCTCCACCTCTGTCTCTCTTCTGTTGCCTCCCTTTATCTTTCCTTGTGTCTCTCTCTCTCTCTCTCCCTCTTTCTTTGTCTGTCTCTGTGTTATTCCTCCTCTTTCTCTGTTTCTCTCTCTCGCTCACTCTCTCTCTCTCTCTTGTTTTTTTTGTTTGTTTTGTTTGTCTCTCTCTCTCTCTCTCTTTCTCCCTCTCTCTCCCTCTCTGCCCTCTCTCTCATTATATGTTTTGTGTGTATATTATCTCTCTCTTCTTTATTATGACCCTATACATACATACATACGTACATACATACATACATACATACATACATACATACATACATACATATATATATATATGTATATATATATATATATGTATGCGTATATGTATGTGCAAGCGCAGCCCTCTAGTGGTCCATCTGCGTAGGAACGTGCAGATCTATCGCAAGTCAAGCATTGTATCCGTGAGCTTGTATATCAGTAGGTTATTTGCATTGCCACATCCACGTTTCCATCGGTCTATCCTTGTACAGAGCTTTACATATGCATAGCCACCGATCTGTCCGCTCATGTCCCTAACTACACATCTACCCACCTATCCATGTATATAGACATATGTGAATACATGCATACACTGTCGACGCATCCATAACCATACTTCTACGCATCTGGCTGGTTCCATTGTTCCCAACCATCCTGTGGTGTTGGGTCCTCGTTTTGAAGAGACAGCGCCCCGCGTCCCACCTCCTCTCCTCCTCCTCCCCCTCCTCGCCCTCCTCCCTCCTCCCCCTCCTTGCCTCTGCTCTCGGCACACCCCTCGCACGTTTCGTAGCCCCATAGGGAGCTCCACCGAAGGTCCCAGTGGCACAGCCCGCATGCGGTTCCCCCACCCAGGGCAGCGTTTCGTAGCCCCGGGAGCTCCACCGAAGGTCCCAGTGGCACAGCCCGCATGCGGTTCCCCCACCCAGGGCAGCGTTTCGTAGCCCCATAGGGAGCTCCACCGAAGGTCCCAGTGGCACAGCCCGCATGCGGTTCCCCCACCCAGGGCAGCGTTTCGTGGCCCCATAGGGAGCTCCACCGAAGGTCCCAGCGGCACAGCCCGCATGCGGTCCCCCCACCCAGGGCAGCGTTTCGTAGCCCTATATGGAGCTCCCCCGAAGGTCCCAGTGGCACGGCCCGCATGCGGTTCCCCAACCCAGGGCAGCGTTTCGTGGCCCCATAGGGAGCTCCACCGAAGGCTCCAGTGGCGCAGTTCGCATGCGTCCCCCCCCCCACTCAGGGCAGCGTTTCGTGGCCCCATAGGTAGCTCCCCCGAAGGTCCCAGTGGCACAGCCTGCATTCGTCCCCCCCCCACCCAGGGCAGCGCTTCGTGGCCCCATAGGAAGCTCCACCGAAGGTCCCAGTGGCGCAGTTCGCATGCGTCCCCCCCGCCCAGTACAGCGTTTCGTGGCCGCATAGGGAGCTCCACCGAAGGCTCCAGTGGCGCAGTTCGCATGCGTCCCCCCCACCCAGTACAGCGTTTCGTGGCCCCATACGAGGCTCCCCCGAATGCGATACCCACAACTGCATATGGTTGGGTCCTTCGCCAGGCTAATTATACCCACGTTTTTGTCAGCCATGTGTGTTCAGCCATGTGTGTTGACGATCGGTGCATGTATCTGGCAACGTGCGTACATCTATGCGTGTCAGTAAACCCAATCGTGCGTGGATCCTGTGGTTAGATGTAGATCTATATATCTATATACACTTATGTATATATATATACACATATGCCTGTATATACACCCATCGATGTACAGCATAGGTGTCGTCCATATATCACTACATAGCTGTATAAATACACACACCGAGACTTCACTCCAGTGCCATACAGGTAAATGTATACATGTGCAGACCCATCCGCCTATTTATTTGTTTGTTCTTCGTATCGCATTAAATGCACATTCATAGGTTTGTGCATATATATATATATATATATTGTATACGGATGTTACCAGCTTGTTCATTGATCTATGTACAGATCATCAGTCCATCTATATACGCACATACCCATGCGCCTGCTCATATGACAATCGATTATTGTAACCCGCGCGCATACTGTGATTTCATTTGCAACCCACATCGCCCGCGATTGCAGTTCTCCAAGCCTCCCCCCTGAGAAAGACTCCATTTGCATTTTGCACAGTCATGCCCACTACTTATGTAAACCCACCAAATGAAGAATTGTATTGTAAGGTCACGCGGTAGGATGTCATGGTGTGAACCACGCAATAGTAACGGGTGTGCCAATCGCCCGCAACAGAGCATTTCTAGGTAAAACCGCCCTGGAGATCTCATGTGCAACGCGCACAATAAGAACCATATTAATATCACCGACGACAGAAATGTTTCTATTAAGCCGCGCTTCTTTCGCGCGATAAGGGTCAATGTGTAATTCGAGCCGCGGAATGCACATGAATCTGCGCATCGCTTGCACAAAGAATTCGAGAATAGAAAGCTCATCAGAAATTCGATTTGTAAGCCGCATAATAGGAATCAGTCTGAAAACCGCGCACGACAGGTTTTTCCTTTGAAACTAAGCTCGAGAATCTTTTTGGTGGGGGCATAAACAAGTCCCCACAGTTGTGAAACATAGTTTTTCGGGAACGGGGCCTGGGGCCCCCTCAATAGGAAGGCGGGGTATTTCATTTTGTGTGTTTTTGTTCCACCTGTCAAACGTGCCCGGCTTCCTTTCAAAAAGAAGCATTTCTTTTTTGGGCAATTTGCAAATTGTTTTCCATTTATTGAATGACACATGTAATATTCGCGTGTGTGGCTTGATAATGGGTTCCCACTGATTGGATGACACATGCAATTTTTTGTTGTGTGTGTGGGTGACTTTTTATTTTCTTGCATAATCGGCATTGCACTACACTTTTGTAGCGGTCCGTAAAAGCAATCTGCCAGAATTGCGCGCAACGCAACTCACAACGAAATTTTGCAACACATCAGAAGACAAAACACGGGAACGTCGAGACAGACAGTCGCCCGGTGGTGGAGTATAGTTGCCGTATCCGAATGCCTGCGGTGCCGGTGTTGGCGTCGTGCTTGCTCAGCCCTCAGGGGCCGGAAGTGGAAGAAATCGGCCGATGGGGAGGACCTTTGACCATCAGCCGCCCGCCCACCGCCGAGCCTAGCCCGGGCGCAACACCATTATGTAGGAAGTACGGTTTCGCTATGGGGGCCCATCGCCGACCTGGTGCGCAGAGTCTAGGGGAACAAAGAGTGGCATAAACATAAAACTTCGGAGGTCCGCGCGGATTTCTCGTATCCGCGCTGGGCCCCCCCGGCGGCGCCTCCAGTGCCGCCCCTGGCGCGCTCCGCGCGCCAGGGAGGGGGGTCCAGCGCGGATCCGAGAAATCCGCGCGGACCTCCGAGTTTTTATGTTTATGCCACTTTCTGTTCCCCGAGAGTCCGGCGGTCGGCAGTCGTCGTGCTGCCGCGAGGAGCGCGAAACACGGAGCGAAGGGACTCTGTCCTGGCCGCGGCGAGCCTCGACTCTGCAGGAGCCTCCCGACCCCGGCCATGGGGATCGGCTGGGCAAGCAGAGAGCCCCTCCCGAGCCCAGAGCGGCCTCCTCTTTCGGCGCCTCGGCTGCGGGACTGCCCAGCCTCCTCATCCTCCTCGATCTGCGATCCTCGATCCTCCTCCCCCTCCTGGTCCGCCTCCTCCTCCTCCTCCTCCTCCTCCTCCTCCTCCTCCTCCTCCCCCTCCTCCTCCTCCTCCTCCTCCCCTTCCTCCTCCTCCTCCTCCTCCTCCTCCTCCTCCTCCTCGACCCCCTGCGCTCGCCACGCAGCGTGCCTGGCTCGGTGCCCCGCCACCAAGTCGCGATCAGGCAAGAGCGCCGGCCCGTCCCCGCCCAGTGCACACCGCAGCGGGTGTCGCCCGGTGCCGCTCGGGCCCCGCCCCCGCTCCCCTGCGGCCTTGGTTTCGACGGAGCGGCTGGGAGAGGTCCACAGGGAGTAGGCAGGAGGGAGGGCAGAGAGGAGGGCAGAGAGGAGAGGAGGAGGAGGGATGGCGAGCAGGGGGAGAGCAGGCGGAGAGAGATTAAGAGAAGGGTCAGGGAGGAGCAGGGAGGAGCAGGGAGTAGGGGGGAGGAGGAAGAGGAGGAGGAGGCGGAGGAGTAAGAGGAGGGAGGAGGAGGAGGAGGAGGAGGAGGAGGAACTGCAAATTAAACAGGACGATCCGATGCAAGACGGCTGTCCCTTTTTTTCTGAGAGGGCAGCGACAGTACGAACGTGGTGTGCATATGATATCGCCCTTTGGTGGTTACAAACGCTTGAGCCAAAGTAGAAAGTAGACAGCATGCACAGTAGCATGGAGGTCTGTATATGAACACCCTCTTCGGCCACTACAGACCGAATCAGCTACGTACGCGGTGCGAATACGAATTGAAGCGTTACACGGAGCTGATTCAGCAGGTAAAAGTTTGGCCTTGAGCAGGCGTGTTTCATATGTCGCAACTTCATACAGACAGTTTGGTGTGCTACGGTAAGTCAATCGTTTGGCAGCATCGCACACAACAGGTGGCTTGACTTGCGGAAGGACATTCGCACTAGTTTTATTTGCGACAGCGGTGCTGCACACATTGTTCTTACGGTTGCGCTAGTTGTGCAGTTATGGGAGGAGGAGGAAAACATATGATATTGTTTGTTTATGCGTCCCTGACGAATCACGTCGATGGTGCATTGACCTTGACCTGGGACTCTTCCCAGTTGCTGTGTTACGATTGTTATGGGCTTTGTCCCTCATGACACTGGTCCTCATGGTTCATGTAAGTATCATCTTCAGAGGCCTCTTCGTCACTGTCAGAGTTATCCCAGGTATCCTTGACGACGCCAAGGGGGGGATGGCAATTGTCGCACTTCTTGACTTTGAGAGTTTTGATGCCGTGGTCGCGACCAGTTGCCCTCCAGAAGACGTAGTCCCGATTGTGAAGTATTAGAACCACGCCCCTATTTTGCGCGCTGCGCCTCCGATCGTAATCCACACCAGAGTCAGGATCAACAGAACAATCTTAGTCGACCGCCCACAATTTGTAATCTTCGGTGGGTAGGTGTCAGTGCCATCGGATCTTCTCTGCAGACTGCCTCCTGTGATAGCGCATCCTGCGGTGAATCCAGTCCGCGCCGCCCCGGGTGTGATTAGCACGGGTTTCGTCTTGTTGTCAGAGAAGGGCCGATATTTTGGTTTGTTTACAGGTGATGTTTGGTTTATCAACCAAGTCTCTGTCGTAACTGATGGATATTTGGCGTTAGTGTTGAAGTTCTTGTAGTATACAACCAGCCCGCTGCTCACGCTTACAAATTCCTTCGCGAGCTCTTGAGTTGAGAACTTGGGCGCCCACATTCCTGTCATGATGTCCCCATGGGTATCGTGAACGGTGGCTTCGGTGTAATGGCATTCATTTCCTATGATCGTCGGGTTACTTGGCCAACGCATGTCGAACCAGGTCGTGAGCATGCTAACACAGTCCATGTCCTGTCACGGTGGCATGTTCTTGACGCAAACCTGCGTGCTCCTTTTTCATACCCCAATCGTAGATGCCAACACGTTGGGCACCACAGGTCCTGGTAGGCTCTCATCCGTCGGGCACGCATTCTGAAAGCGACAGACGCTTCAGACCAATTCGCCATGCTTCTCCCGGCAATGCTCCGAGACTGCGGCTCTCCATGCGCGTGGGCCTTCCAGGAAGGCTATCGGTAACACACTGTAGACATGGCCGTACAGGCATTGACGAGTGTCGAGGTAAGAATCGCACTGCGCACCAGCTGACCTCCCATCCCTCAGGATCTGCCGGCTCGCGCGCCTCGTGGTGAATTAAGCCAGCCAACCACGCGTTCATCCCACCACGCAGACACCCTTTTTGTGGAGTTACTCCGCTCCTTCTCTGGCCTTCCTCACGGCAGCAGCTTGGACGGGCCGTTTCGGGGCCCCGTCTCCAGCATGCGCCGGGGGGAGGGCGCTCGGAGGACTCCGCCTCTTCCTCCTCCGCCTCCCTGCTCCTCCCCCGCCTCCTCCTTGCCTCGTCCTTGTTCGCCAGCTCCGACGGAGGTCCTGGGAAGTCCCGACCCTCTCCCCAGGGCCAGTCTTGCATTCCAGGTCTTCCAGGCGGGGGAAAACACACACAGAGACACAATTCATCGGCGACTCCCAGGAAGATAGGGGGACATGTGCGAAGTGGGGAGAAGACGAAACTTGAGAAAGTATGGACACATAGGGAGAGTCCTGGGATTCAGTTTAACATAGGGAAAAATGACAGAGAAGCCGTGGAAGCAGATAGATCGCATGGAC